TGTCTTGTTTAACCTGTTAAGCCCGAGAGACCCCGGTTCCGGGGGCCTGCTGCAATATCTTGCAGAAAACAGTGTCTGAGGGCATATTCATTTAATAAACTATGAATGTTTTATATCCATGTAACGGAAAGAAACTCATCTAACTGATCATTTTAATTTTTTTTTCCAAAAAAACCCCACAATGCTAACCCTGAGCTTCTGAATTAGCAACGAGCAAAAAATGCTAACAGATGACTACACCGATATTCACTCACAAAACCTTATTATTTATCTTTGCTGCACATCTCAACCCATCGTTTCACATCGTGAGGGGACACAGAATCGATGGGTACCCTCATTATCACTCAAGTATAGGAATTCTCGGAGATAATGACAAGAACACACATCAGAAAATATGGAGCTAGTTAGCCAAAAATGGCAAAATGGCTCACCTGTGTGGTAGTCTGGTCAAAAGTGGTCTTCAATGGCATTAAAATGATGCTGAAATTAATCCGTAGGTTAATCCAATGTGTCTGTGTCACTTTGACTGATTTCTGATTTCTTAATGCAAACGTTTTGTAAAGTGATGCTAGACCAAAAACGTGCTGTTGGATTGTGTGCTTTCTGCAGGACGGTGTTTGTACTCAAAGATTGTTTATGAAATGAGGGCTTCACTCTGTTTTTGTTGTCCAAACAACGGTAACAGAGCGATACGTCTTCTTTCCAGCAGATGACATAAATGTTACATCATCCAGTTCAACTGTTATCCACATTGTAATGATTCAAAACAGCAATGTGTAAGATATGGCTATTTCAACAGAATGTGAAGAGGTTACAGTCTTGAGGCCACGTCCAATATGTTTATGTTTTGTTTGATTAAATCTACTGAAATGAGCATTTAATGATTAAATTATTCTTAATTACTTAATGGGTTTGCATTGCAATATTAGAATGCATAAAACCCAACTTTATTTCTTCTAAGTTGCGGGTGTTCATTGTTTAGAAGTCCGCTGTGTTTCATCCAAGCTTTTTCGTTGTGCTCCGATAATGCTGAAAGTATCTGTTGTATGCTTTACCTGCTCCAGTAACAAAAGTGTAGTTCACTGGACATCGACAAGAGATAGTGGATGGATCCAGAGGAGAACCAGAAGATAGCCCGTATAGAGCCTTTAGGTTCTGAAAATGATCAGGGATAGAGCTAGAAGATAGCCAGTACAAAGCCAAGAAAGACCCAGTAGAAAGACAGGAAGGAGCCAAAATAGTTTGTATTTTTTATTTTGTAATATTCAAGCTCTTCTCTTAAGGTATTAGAACTTCCTATCACAACATGTATCCTTTTATTCCAATTAAAAAACCTTACTTTTTTGCTGCCAATTGTTGAGATTGTTTCACAGCTTTATCTTAAATATTTAGACCTTTTTCTTTACATATAGATTACATAGGATGAACAGCACGATCCACTCTGCTAGATTCTGCTCTAAATGAATGCAAACATCTCGCTGTATCCAAACTCCTGCAGTTGTATTGTTCTGGATTCATAGTGAAGTGTATGAGATGTTCTGCACTGTTATTGTTATATATTTTATATAGAGTGAAATACCCATAACAAAATTCAGAAAATAAAAAGGGACCCAGTTAAGGAAAAAGGTTCTGAACCAGTGAGAGTTCTTCATTTGCACATAAACATGGTAAAATATTTAGAGTTGTGACCAGATGGTGTCGCCCGCTGCACACATTTAACGCTCTGCATTTTATTGATTTATTTAGCCTTTTATACCACACTGCAAGTCTGACATTTATTAATGAGATAACAGGAAGTTACACTGCAGATTTAAACACTTATAAACACAGCTCAAGTGTTTCACAGCGAGAAATATTCAAGCAGAAAAATCAGTGCCTGTTAAATCAAAGGGAAAGCAATCATCTAAGACATTTGTGAAGCGGATAAAATCAACTCAGCGTACAAGACACATAAATCCTGTGATGTTTGGACATAATCCAGGCTCTATGTTCACATAGAGAAGGATATCACAGTGTTTTGGGGCCTATGTCGGTTAAAAGCCAGCAGAAGGGTGTATTAGTCTGTCAAATAATTCGTAAAGTTGTAAATTAACAAGAAAGAAACTGTGATAGTGTTTGAAGCTTGTTCTCCCCCAGCTCTCCTACGTGATGTCCGGCTGGCGTTACTTCGTCTGCCCGGTGGAGTTCAACAACGACTCCAACCGGTTCCAGGTGGACTGCGAGCCGTTGGAGCTTTTCCAGCTGCAGGACTACACCCTGCCCTCCGTCCTGGAGTCCTTCACCGGGTGGGTGGGGCCAATATTCCGCCGATATTCCGCATTTGATCGATTATCGGTATCCGCCTTTTTTTTTAATCAAATTGCCGATACAACTTTGGCTTTGATACGGCCGTTTCTCTGGCTGCAGTAACCACTCTGTGTACACGAGCAATGTCCCGCCCACAGCGCTATCTGATAGGCTATTACTGAAGATTTTTCGGGCGGGAGCCAGCCAGAGAGGCGGGACCTTCTCAGATTACAGGCAGGTGCGACGCAGACACAGACTGAAGCAAGCAGCAGCGCTGAGCGGCAGAGCCATACATGTGTTAAACCGAAGTTCAATAAACATCCCTATCCCCTATGCTGAAGTTGCAAAAACACCACGATCTTATGATCCAATTCTATCAGTTTCCCAGTTACACAGGGACGCGGGAAGTCAGTCAGAGTTGGGGGTGCGTGCAGCGTCTCGCAGCGGAGTAACTGTCGTGCGGAGGGGGGGGGGAGGGGGCTGCGAGTGGAGCCTCGCAGTTTTTCAGGTTGATATGTGAAGCTCATTAGCTAGCCAACATGTATCTAGCAAATGTTTAGCAAAATATTAGAAGTGAGGCTACTAGACTAACGTTAGGTCTACTGTAATAGCCTCACTTTGAATAGTTTGCAAAACATTAGCTAGCACTAGTGTTTTACAGTTGCTAGCAGCTTATTGGGATTTTATGCTAGATAGACAGATATAATAAATTAAGCATTATTGTTAGTTAAGCATGTCAGCCTGCAGCCCCACTTCTTGTATCTCTCTCTAACTCATAGCAGATGACTGCACTAAAGAAAAGGGCACAGAGAGGAAACCAGTTGTAAGATGTTTAACAGTTAATTAAACATAATATATGCTTAAATGCATTTCAAAGAAGTTGTGTTGAGTTGTGTTGGAGTTTGTGTTATTCTACATTTTGACACCAAGATTTTCTGATATTACTGCAAATATAAATATATATCGGTTCCAAATATCGGTTATCGGTCTCCTTGATTACTAATAATCGGTATCGGTATCGGCCTTGAAAAAGCCATATCGGTCGATTCCTAGACTCTCCTAACCTTTATCTGTCCTTCCTGTTTTCTGGCATCACAAGTCATGTAAACATGAATGTAACTATGAAACAATAAAATCACTATATTGCAAATCCAGTATGCCAAAAAACAAGAGGGATCCGTAATATTTGTAGAATCATGTATGTGTCGCAACCTTTCAAACACTTTAATTGTGTCATCTATGTTATTTAGTTTTAATCCTGTGTTACTCATTAAGTAAAGTTAAAATATATCTAAATGTGGTTTCTAGAGTACACAGAACCTAAATCCCGTTTAACCCCAGGTTTTTATCATACGTTTCAACCTCATTATATTTTTCTCAGCCAGGTTTGATTTAGATACTAAAAGCCTGGGGATGCAAGTCCTATTTTAGCCAAATAACTAGTAACTAGTTTAGTTTCACTGAACTGCTGGTCTCTGTTTCAGTCTGACACATGTTCCCTGTCTCCGCAGACCACGGTGCGTCTGTATCCGTTCCAGATCCACAGCATCGCTCTCTCCTCCTTCGCCTCCATCATGGGACCCTTCGGAGGATTCTTCGCCAGCGACTTCAAGAGAGCCTTCAAGATCAAAGTAAAGATTTCTGACACGTTTGTTTACTTCAAAACAATCCAACTATCCTTTTATTGTCTGTTGTCTTTGCTCCATGTATATTATATTCATAGCAGCAGTCTGATCACACGTACTGTTGTTTGTTCTTCCAGGATTATGCCAACACGATCCCGGGTCACGGTGGCATTATGGACCGGTTCGACTGCCAGTACCTCATGGCCACATTTGTTGACGTCTACATTGCCAGCTTCATCAGGTAAACACACAGCTATGGTTTGTTCATATGTTGTATAACCTAATCAGCAATGTACAGTGACAGTGAAGAAATTCATCATCAAAGTTAGTGGTTATTTATTTTATTCCTGACTGTTAGAGACAGCATTTTATTTCTCCAAGAAAACAAACTGTTGGTTGAACATTAAACTAGCTAACTTGCTAATAACCATTAAAGAGTGATCTCTGTCTCTTCTTGAGTTGTGTTATGTCTTCCTCTGACACTGAATAAATAAACAAACATGAAACAAAAGTATGAATTTAGTTTGAGACTTTTCAGTATTGGTTTATATCGCTGTAGGGTGCCTTTGAGACTTCATGAAAAAAAAGATTTTAAATGTAACTTCATATTGAGTTTACTATGTAGATCAGGCTCTAAAAATGCTATGTAGTCAAGCTCCAGCACTTTTTATAAACGAACTCAAAGCAGATAAAGCACGGGGTTCCAGCTTGAACCCTCAGAAAAGGAGTCCTCAAGTTTAACATGTTCATATTTTTTGTTTCAAATATTTTCATTGAGAAGATGAATACAAGTGTTAGCAATGGTACAGACTTATTTTCAACATAGAAGACAAACAGAACAGCCAACAAGAGATAACAAAGAAAAAACATAGCTTGACAGGAATACCATACTCAATGACATACATAGTCATAGTGTGAAAGAACATACAAAATAGTTTATGTAATACAAATAAATAAACTTAAAGGTTATGTTCATATTTTTCGTATTTATTCTTCTACCACCCATCAATTTATTTGGGATCGATGGTGAGATTTGATAGTTCTAATCTTAGTAATTTCCCTCCCTAATTATCTCCCCTCTCCTCTCAGGGGCCCGGACCCCAGCAAGGTGATCCAGCAGCTCCTGGCGCTGCGCATCGACCAGCAGCTCCACATCTTCAACTCCCTGACGGAGAAGGGTTTCCTGCCGGCGGTGGAGGACGTCATGGCCTAGAGCCCCCCCCCCCCACCCCGACACACTGTGGCTCACCCTAAGGGGGAGGAGAGAGAGGAGGGAAGCACCCCGAGGACCCCCTGCTGACCCGGGGCACTGGCAGTGATTTGTGTGTGAGCGAAAAACACATCAGAGAAAAACGGCAAAAAACGTCAGCTTTTGTTCATTCCACGTCATTTGGTTTGAGAGTCCAGTGTTTTGTGAGTTACTGTACTGTTACACATTTCTGTTATAGATGACTTGTATTACCACCTGGATATCCTCTATATACCTATTAATGTGTGTTTTTCAGTTTGAATGCACTGCTCTCAACACTCACTGTAGTGTATTGTTACTCCACAGATGTGTGAGGAATAGCTAAGTTACCTATGTTTGACAGGATCAGTTACAGATACAATCCTCCATACAAGAATATTGTTTTATTTTGAAGGCCAGTGCGACTGACACCAGCACCCTCTCAGAATAAAGGTCAATCCTTTGCAGAAAAACTCTCAGAATACAATCATGATTTTGTTGAATTGGCTTATTCTCTGGGACATAGTTTTAATCTCTGACAAAGAGCTGTTTTATCACATGTTTTGTAAGCTGGTGGGATTGGTGCATCTGTTTGTTACATTGGTAGAAACAATAATGGTTTCTACACTGCCAATATCTGCTTCTTTATGCTGTAAAGTTAGCAGCTTCAGGGCAGAAATACAGATTATATACAGCATGTGTTTATCACTCGTGGACCTGTGTGTGTGTGACAGCAGCTGTGCCAGATGTGACCTGATTGCCAATTCAAGGTGTTTTTCAGAAAGGACCCTTTGATATTTATACCAGTGGCAAATGTTCACTTCATTTGGTGGTTCAAATATAAAAGATTCTCTAATGTTGAGTTTATTTTGTTTTCTTAAGGGGAAGTGCCCCGGGTAAAAATGTCCGTATGATGTCCTTATGACTTTTTGTTGATATTGATAAAGAAAGGGAAAGCAGGTTTGGCTTGTGCTTCAAAACTTCCAAAAAGGCCAACAACTGGTACAAAGTAATATTGCTAAGTTCATCAACAAATGGTCACATCTTTCTGGGTTATTTTGGGAACAAACATCTGTATTCAGTGTACGTGGGTCCCACTCTGGTTGGATACAGATAAAGGCTCTTATATGTTACCATAATCATCCAATCACATCAGGTTGTCCATCATGTCTGTGCAGATCCATCCTTTTGTTTCCATCCAATCAGAAAAGATATCATTTATCTTCGTCAGTGAAAGCCAAATGAAGTACCTTCCGTGTAAATGTAACCCTGGCTATAGAAATGCTGTGTTTATTTGTAAAGGACAAAATAGCAATATGAACAATCATACAGTGTCAGTGTAGCATAAATGTGAAGTTAAGTATCTAAATGCTATTCTTAAAAATAAATAAAAAACAGCGTACGTTTGTGTTATTATCTGTGACTGCTTCACGTAATCCTTTGGGAAATTATTTGCCATTTGAAATATCCATTTTATTGGGTTCTGTCCTCTGTAAAGCTGTATATGTTTAAGCAATTTACTCACTTTTTTGTAACAACATTTGCTTCATTATGGCAATCAATTTCTAAAGCGATAATGAATGTATAGACTCTTCCTTTTCTCCCTTTTCCACTTTCACTCCATCATTTTATTAATGTCATTTCATGTCTTAACTTCTTAAAGTATTTATTGACTTGAAAAACCTTTTCAAAGGGACTATATTGTACATTTCAGAAGATGTTTAGAAACGGTGTTTGTCAAGTTCTTCAGGGTTTTGGCATGTACATAGTGATTTAGCCCGAAATTGAGAGGATGCAGGGCAACAGAGGACGCTTGGAAAACTCGGATTTTGTTCTTTTTTGTCTTTATTTTTAAAAGACAACTCCAAGAATTTTCATCAGGTTGAAAACCTTCAAAACACAAAGGACATATCTAGAAGATATGTAGAAAATAAACTTATTTGAGATACATTCATAACAAACGTAACGTGGGGAGAAAATACGTTTCTAGCTAAACGTAATTGAGAATGCAGTTTAGTTCTGTGGGAACGTCATTTTTAGGAGACAGGGTTGAAAATACACATCAAACAAATGGAGCGCAGGCAGACCACGCTGCGTAAAAAGCCGTCGATTGCGCAACAGCACTCTCACAAAGTAATCAATAAATCAATCAATGTTTATTTATATAGCCCAATATCACAAATGTTAAATTTGTCTCAGTGGACTTCACAGTTTGTACAGAATATCAGTATGACAATACGACACCCTCTGTCCTTAGACCCTCACATCGTACAAGGAAAAACTTCCGGAGAAAACCCACAGTTTAAAGGGAAAAATGGGAGAAACCTCAGGGAGAGCAACAGAGGAGGGATCCCTCTCCCAGGACGGACAGAAGTGCAATAGATGCCGTGTGCAAATTGAAAAGATAATACATTTGCAACATAGGTAATCCAAATGTTTGGAAATGCATGTGTGTATAATAGGAAGATGAATCCACGAGGATATCCATCCAGGACCTATGATCCAGGACCACAGCCACGACTCAAGATCCAGGGCTCGCGATGCAGGACACAGGACCGCAGGATCATCCATGACTCCGGATCCCAGCGTATATAGACACCAAAAAGAAAGAAATTTGGGGAAGCTGGGTTAATCGGAACATGAGAGTACACAGGTATAGACAGAGAGAAGAAAGAAGTAAGATGTCCCCCGACAAACTAAGCCTATATCAGCAAAACTAGGGGCTGAATCTAATCAGCCCTAACTATAAGCTTCAAAAAGGAAGGTCTTAAGCGCACTCTTAAAAACGGATAGGGTGTCTGCCGCCCAAACACAAACTGGAAGCTGATTCCACAAATGTGGAGCTTGATAAGAAAAGGCTCTGGCTCCCATTGTACTTTTAGAGACTCTAGGAACAACCAACAACCCTGCATTCTTGGAACGCAATGCCCTAATAGGACAGTAGGGTATAATGAGTTCTTTAAGGTAAGATGGCGCCTGTCCATTAAGGGCGAGAAGAAGAATTTTCAATTATATCCTGTGTTCTATAGGGAGCCAGTGTAAGGCAGCCAGAACAGGAGTAATGTGGTCCCTTTTCCTAACTCTGGTTAGTACACGAGCTGCAGCATTTTGAATCAGCTGAAGCGACTTGACTGACTTCTTGGTACACCCTGATAATAAAGAGTTACAATAATCCAGCCTTGAAGTAACAAATGCATGGACTAGTTTCTCTGCATCTTGCTTATCTTTCTTACAGTGCAGACGCTTTTCTGCTTGCTCTTGCCTCTGCTTACTTTATATGCTGATTTTCCTATTCTTATTATCTGAAAACTTCGAGCAGCGGCTCCTGGACATTAACTTATCACTGGGACAGTTCATCTTCGTAAATAGACGGAGGGTTTCAGCCATATTTCAACATTTTTACGACGACGTCAGTCTTACAATAGCGTGGCCTAGCAACAGCTAAAGCCTGGTAGGCTACTGCTATTTAGCTAGTTGGTAGCAAAATGCCTCCGTTCTCTACAGATGACTTCCAGAAACTTATACAGAAGATGGCTGTGTTGGAAATGAAAATGTAACGGTTGGAAGTTAACGTGGAAATGATTGGACTATGTCGTGGGAATGACACGACTTTACCAGTGTTGCAAAATAATGGAGAAGGGTATGCTAACTCACAGCTAGTTAGCAGCTACAAGGATTCCAATGAACAGGAGGGCTGTGTACCGGGTAATAAATCTACAAGTGGTAGTCCTCCCTGGAACTCTCTGGGTGCAAAGCCTAAGAGTAAATCATTTCCATGGGATTTGGGAGGACGGATAACAGGCAGAGCCCAGAGCTCCGAAATCTGTGATGCGACCGGCTGGCCTGCATTGTTATCACCCAGGAAGAGCGCCTCTTCAACCCCTATTCATACTAGGAAACAGCAGTGGACAGCTGCTAAAGGGAGAATTACAAACAATCCTCCTAAACCACCAAGTGTGCCAATCCAGAACAGACGGTTTCAACGGCCTGTACTGACCATTCTGTTCATTTTATTGACAATTTTAACTTTTTCTGGGATCGCAGACATCTTTTCAAGGCAAATGGAGTTTGCCTGAACAAGTCAGGAGTGAAATTGTTTATCTCTAACATATTCAACTGCCTGCGTCATCAATCTGTTCCCTCTGCCAAGGACAAGCGGCAAGAGGAATCAAAACACGAGAAAGACACAACACATCACGCAGAAAACCCTGAAAAATTATCACTGCACCCGCCTGAGGAATGTTCTGATTATGGGAGACATATGAGACACATGGAGGAGTCTCCACTGCCCCCCCCCCCCCCCCCCCCCCCCCCTGTCAACGCCTTGAGGATACTCCGTTCACCCTTTCACCCTCGCCCACCCTCCTGGAGATCGATGAACACACAAAGGAGATACAGAGGGTTGGCACCGATTCCTTCCTGGAGTTCAAAGACCAAACGAAGGCGATACGCAGGGCTGGCACCATGTCCTTTACCCCCGCTCCTCAACAACGGCCACCAAAATCACCGCGGAGACGCGCACCATCTCCCCCGTCCTCATCACCGCGCCTACGTCAACCACTTCCCCCCCCTGGCAGCATGTCCTCTACCCCCGCACCATCTAGCCCGTCTCCATCACCGTGCCTACGTCGACCACCTCCCCTCCCTTCGAGGGGGCATCTGCAGTGTCCGAAGCCTGATAAGGATGTGTGTGTACAAAACACAACAAACTCTTACTGATATGTGATGGGTCCAGGCTCAAGGGCGTATGGCACTCTCAACTCTTTCCAGGACATGCCGGGGCCCTGCCTGCCAGTAGCTTTGCCGATATCTGTGTTGATAGGTAATAGATTAAGAGCGGTGAATCATAGAAACAGGAAGCGCTCAAACGTTTGTGTGAGTTTATCAAATTTAGAAGTGATTCCATGTCAGCCACAGCTTGTTACAAAAAACATGACTGATAGTGTGTTTAACAAACTTAAACTAACTTTATTAAATGTCAGGTCTTTGGC